GCTTCCGTCTTTGCTTATAACCATCAAGTTGTTTTCCATACCCCTACAGCTGATTACTTCAGCAGATTATCAAATAGTTGAGAAATATATATTTAAATTGCAGAACTTCCATATAAATGAATCAAAATCATCATATTGGAGAAGCAATGGAATTAAATCTTACAACCATTTGCACAAATAAAGGACTTTGTCATGGTTGAGGAAGAAGAGGAGGAGCACGAGGCGAAGGGATTCAGAAAATGAATTAAGGATTGCGAAAGAAAAGAACATGGAATTAGGGATTAAAAATTCTGAAATTGAGGGAGAAGGAAATGGGTCACCTGATATGCTAGCAGATAAGATGAAGCCAGAAAAATGAGGCCCAACAGTAATTCAATTGGCAGCCCAAGAGAAGAATTTGCCCTAGCTGTCAAGCAAACGTTAGCCTTAGTACACTGTAATTATATAAAACCATGTACTAGAGGAGGAGAAAGCCATGCTTTGATTGAATGAATTCTAAACTTCTTTGAATCTCTTCTTTTCTCTCCTTAATCTCTATTCTCTTTATTCTCCGTCTATCTCTTTTCTGTCTTCTTCGTCTAATTTTCTTCTCTAATCACACTAGGGTCATAACAAATTGGTATTTAGAGCCATCATTTCTTGGTAGCTTGAAGCAAAGAACCAAGGCATGGCAGACTCCATTAATCTTTCTGCAATTCAGAGGCAGCTTGACGACCTCACCAAGATGGTAAAGCATACAACGGCTAAATCAACTCCTCCAAAATGGTGGGAGGCAAAGAATGCTCACATAACTAATTTGGAGATGAAAATGGACACAACCCAGAGAGCGATGGAGCAGATCTTCCAGATTCTGACTAGTACAAAGAGTGAGCAAAAACAAAAACAGAGGGGTTACGGTATTGTATCTTGGGTGTTCGAAAAAATGCAAGAAAAAGAAACTAAGCCATTCATTATTGAATCTTATAGCCTCTATGATGGTCAAGATCCTACAAAAATAGAAGCTCAACAGAAACAAGAAACGGAAAATGACATAAAGGCTACTATGATGGTTGATGCTTACAGTAAGAACATCTACCCTTTTTATACACTTGAAGAAGTTTTCTTTCTGCCCAAAACTGAGCTGGAAAGTACTGATGCACCACGTAAATGTTATGTCGAAACTGTAAATAGTGGCCCCAACAATGGTGTTATGATACTTCACTACAAAGGGTATAAAATGTTTGAGAAAACGTTAGAGCTTCATCATTGGGTACATCATAACAATGGTGACAAATTTTCAGTCGTTGTGCTGAAAAATTCAGGATATATGAGTCTAAAGGGGTACACATCCAATGGTTAAATCAATATCAAAGTCCAAAGTCTTACCTCTACATGGATAGAACAAAAATTTGAGAGGACTTGAATCTGAAACAGAGACTTCTTCAAAATCAAATGAAGTTTCCAGAAGAGTTGAGAAGGAGAACATTCACTTATTATGATACCGGATGGAGTATGGACCATTATCAGTCGAAGAATGTTGTTGCTAATGTTAACGCAATCATAGGCCCCACGTTGATAAGAAATAACCTAACCGAACATACTACTTTTGACAATTTCATGGTTCAATAACTAGGTGGAACTTAAAATGACTGGGGTTGGTGTAGACAAAAGTTTGGTGTGAATGTCATTCTTGTGGTTTCCCTTACTGTTTACCAAGCTGGAGCTAAAGTCAAGAACATTACTCCTTATAAGCACATTACTAACTTTGCTGGTAACCAGAAGTTGATCCTGTCAGTCCCTGCGTTCAATGTCATCAAGGGTGGTTTACATCCAAGAAACAAACATGCTATGCAGGAGTTCATGATTCTCCCTGTTGGAGCATCGTCCTTTAAGAGGGTCAGGAAGAGGGATGTGGAATTTTACCTTCACTTACAGGCTGTTATCGAGAAGAAGTATGGTCAAAATGCAACAAATGTTGGTGATAAGGGTGATTTTGATGCTCCTAATATTCAGGAAAACAAGGAAGGGCTTAAGCTGTTACGAACTGCCTTTGCTAAAGCAGGTTACATAGACAAAATTGTTATTAGAATGAATATTGCTGCATCTGAATTTTATGGACCACTTACAACCTATAACTTGAACTTCAACGAGGAGGCCAATGATGGTTCACAAAAAATCTCAAGAAATGTTCTCAAAGAATTATACAAGTTTTTTGTTTCTGAGTACCTTATGGTATCAAATGAGGATCCTTATGAGGGTAGTGATGACTCTGATGATACAGAGAAAAGTTTTGATCTCTCGAGCTGATGGCAATTATGAGTCGCACAAAATTGGTAAAGATTGTTGCAAATAATATTGTAGAATTGGTATACTACACTATTGTTTTTCTACAAGTTTTTTTTTTGTCTCATTAAAAACCTCCTTAAACTTATGTGGAAGAAAATAATACAACACAATCAAGCATTGAAACAAAGTTCAAAACAAACACAATCTAACTCTATTGAACATGTAAGCACCCTGCATCAACCTGCTGCAATCAACTTAACCTTGCAACACAAACAAAAAGATTACATATTGCAACTAAAAACACAACTAAACCCATCAAAACCTTTTCACCCATACAAACAAATCAAAGGCAAATACCCCAAAAAAACCCTAATCCACTAATACATAAAAGCAGAAACAAAGATTAACTCCATGTATTTAAAGCAACCTCAACCAAAACCTAAAGCAGCCACAAACCAGACCATGAACGCCCCAACTTAAGACAACGAACAAAATGAAAATTTTGTAGAACCGTTCTCCCCACTTCCCACCACGCTTTGATAAATTCTTGTCTACAAAGACCCGCTTTTGCAAGTTGCTCAGCCATGGCATTATTCGTTCTTGAGACATGAATAAATTGAACTCTCATAATCTTAATCACCAATCGAACAATATCCTCAAAAATGTTCTACCACATCCAAGTTCTAAGAGTGACAGTCGAGATCCAATTTAAGGGTACTAGAGAAACCAATTCCATGATCTATTCAGCTTTTTTGGTCCATATTGCCTCCACAAATAACTCAAGAGTGATTTTAACCGCTAAAACTTCTGCATAGTTTGACCCTAATCCGGGGGTTGGCCCTGAGAACATCGCTATAACAATACCAGCATCTGTTCGGAAAACTCCCCCGCATCCAACAACGACTTCTTTGGCAGCCCCATCTATGTTGAATTTTAATTGGTCGGCCATATGAGGAGACCATCTCAAACCTGATTTCTCCCGTTTGCATTCAGTTGCTATGCAATCCAATGGATTCTCCCACCAATTATTCTCATACTCAATCACATCTTCTTTTATTTCTTAGCACCAGATAAGAGTCCGTATCTTAGCATAAAAAATCATGTTCTTGAATATTTTTTTCTCGAAAAGTTTCTCATTTCTAGCTAGTCAAAAACTCCAAAGTGTCGAAGCAGCACAAATAAGCCAAATCGATTTTGCCTCTCCTCGCAATCAGACTTGAAAGCAAAATTCTAATGATTCATCTATTTTCCTTGGTTTCAACCAATTCACCCGCCACCAAGTGCAAATACAATTCCAAAAGAAGGATACAAACCGAAAATTCACAAATAAGTGATTAGAGAAATCAACTTCAGACTCACACCACGAACACAAGCATTGAGACTCCTCTAAGTCCACCCCTCCTATTTAGTTTCAACATCCAAATAAGATTTTTCACTTTTGGAGGCACCTTTAAATCCCAGATTCTATCGAAATTTAATTCCGGATCGGTTATTCCAAACCGAGAAAGCTCCAGCTTTTTCATGGATCCAGATTAGTCGATCTGGTATATTCGGATTAACTCTTGTTGAGATGACCAATTTTTTAACCACTTCCATACTCTGTTTTTCACGTTCCAGCTAACATCTTGCAACTAAACCTCCCATACAACGTCATGTTAGCTTCCATTGCCAACGATTTTTGCTACAATAACCAATTTTCTTTGAAGCACCCTGTACAAACGGAGAAAGACATCTCTAATAGGCTTAGATCCACACCAACAATCCTCTCATAGCATCACTGTTTTTCTGCAAGTTACAGAACTACAGGTCCATATGTGGTCGACGGATGCCAACCAAATGGCAGTGGATTAGGATGATGTCAATCATAGCTACCGTGTCGCTGGTGCATTTTTACTAGAAGAAGTGGTTATTTTTTATGAGGAAGAAGGTATTAATGCTATTAATGTTGCGAGGAAAAGATCTAGTGAATTTCAACAAGAAAATTATGGTTGTTATGTACTTTGGTGGAAGCTAAGGGAGACTACCTTGCTTGCTCTGGCCTCTTTTTCCGAGCAATTACTTGAGACAGAACGAGTTTTTGGACTTACAAAAGTGAGTTTAGGAAATCTTCTCGAACAATTTATTAATGAAGATTTAATTGGGACTGTGAATATTGATACTGACTATAATGGTTTCAAAAAGCCAAGTGATTTATCACTGCATAACGGTCATTGTTCTGGTTATATGTCGTTAACATGTGTTAAAAAAAATTTAAGGGTAACTCCATAATAAAAAGTATTGGAAAAATAAGTCTCTAATAACAAATATTTAAAAAAAATGTGAATTTTAAGTTCATAATAACAAAAATTGAAAAAAAGACATCTAATAAAAAGTACTGAAAAAATTGGACTCATAATAACAAATAAATATTATAAAATAAACTGAATTTTAAAAGTATGTCCCTAGTAACAAATAAAAAAAAGAGACTCCTGATAATAAGTATTGAAAAAAATGGGTCTTAAATAATAAATGTTAAAAAAATTGAACACTTGTACAAATATTAGGAAAAAATTATACGAGTAAGCCCCTAATAATAAATATTAGAAAAAAATTGAACCTATAATAATAAATATCATGAAAAATTTAACCCTTAATAATAAGTGTTGAAAATAATTAAACCCTATAACCAATATAAAATTAATCTTTTATAAATATAATACAATATAAAAAATTTGGGCCCTAGAGAGGTGCCTCTCCTGTCCAGACCAGATACAGCTCTAAGACCTTCAAGTCCTATAGGTATGCCCATCCCCTGACCACCAAGATCTTCAAGTCCTAGAATTATCTCATCATTAGTGATAATAATAACTTGAACATTTCTCTCAGGCTAGTTCTTCAATACTTCAAGAATCGTTCCTCCCTCTTTCAAACTGATGTAAAGATATTGAGATCGCCTAACATTGTCTCCATATTTCTGGAAAGCTTCACCGATTGTTGGAGTGTATACAACCGGGGGCAGCTCCTCCGCCTTATCAATGAGAAGTTTGTAGAAAAGTCGTTCATTTCTCTCACCCTTTCTTGCATCTAGAGTCGTTCGAATAATCAAACTGCAACAATTAAGAAATGATGTTTTAAATAGGAAAACTTCAATATTGATTCCCATGGCTTTAACAACTTCGACAACATTAACAGTGTCTATGGAGATAAAACCCGACTAACATTCCTCTATGCCAACATAATAAGTATGAGCATGAACTAATGGCAGACAACCTTGAATTTTCCAGTTCAAACCTCTCAGATCAACATTTCCAATGCTTAAATGTGGCATAATTACAACCTAGATTCTTGTAATTTGAGTCATACATTTCTCCATTAACAGTAGTCTAAATCCATACAGATCATCATCTTCAACAAGTTAATTACTATTGGATATATTCAAGCTTTCCATCAGCTTCAATACTTCTAAGAAAGAAAGGTTTAGCCGTGTTTTCATTATAGGCAACCTTGGCAGAACCAAACCTACATCCATCGACCAAAACATTGGTAATTAATTGAAAACTACCTTTATGCATGATTACCATACCTGCACCTCCATGTCTCTGGTATTGGAATGAAGCTTTGCAGTTTCCAAAGAAACTTGGGCAGTGCAAGCTCCCAGAAGGATCTTGAAGTAGGTAAAGAACATGACATTTTAGAGAAATTACAAGTTGTTGCATTTGGGTCCCCTACAAATTGAGTTTGCAGTTTAGTATCCAAGTTCATCACTCCATCATTACTCCTTTCACCGTCTATCACTTCATCAACCCGTTGCACAAGCCTTCCACAGCCAAATAAAGGGTGTGTGTCATCTTCAACATGGTTTTTCATTGTCCCAATAGCGTTGAAAGAAGCTACAATCGCTGTTTCATCATTTTAAAAAATCAAGTCCCTCGTTACTTTGATTTGTTTGGTTTCCTATATCATTTACCTTTGGTGCTGGCAATTCGCCGAACACCTGATGGATATTTGTACTTGAGTCGCCTTGCTTAGTAACAGCCCTTTTTCCGATCCACCGATTCCACCCCTATTCGTCTGATTGCTCTGAGCAACCGTGGTAGTTAAAAATATTAGCTGCCTTAGCAGCACCTGATTTGAAATTTAATTAAACCGGCTGATTTAAGATTAAGAGAATTGAAGAAAATAAGAAAAGAAGGAATTATAGAGAAGAAGAAGAAGACTTTATTTTGATGACAAACTTCAATAATTTCGGTAACAAACCCATTGCCTTTTATAGTAAATTGGTCATGTTAAAAAAAAGGTAAACTATATATTTAGTACTTAAACTATTAGTTTTTATCTTGTTTGAGTACTCAAACTTTTAATTTTTCGAAAACTATACTAACATATAGTTTTTATTTCATTTTAGTACCCACCATTAAAAACTTAACACGTTAATTACTAAACTATCAGTTTTAGTTCGTTTTAATACTTAAACTTTTAATCTTTTCAAACTTAACGTTAAATTTTGAAATAGGTATCAAAATGAAATAAAAATTAAAGTTTTTAATGGCGATGTATTAAAATGAAACAAAAACTAAACTTTATGTATGATTTTGAAAAAAAATTAAGAATTTAAATATTAAAATAGATCAAATTAATAGTTTATGTACTAAACATGTAATTTACCCTAAACAAATGAGCTCTACTTTCATGCATCATTTTGCAAAATTCGACTGTATTTTGCTGCTGACGAAGTTTCTGAGCTGGCTGACCTTATTGCTGATTTGGCTGCTCACCAAACATGTGATTATTATATTTAAATGAATCTAATTATAAAAGAAAATTGGTTAATTTGTTTAACTGATCGAAATAATCACACTTTGTTCAGCTCGATTAATATTTTTAAAGAAAAGTTTGGTTAGAGGTTAAATTTTTTTATATTAATTTGATTAATGATAATTTGATTCAGTCGGGGATCGAATTAACTATTTGAACAATCTTAATTTTTCTTTGATTACAGAAGCAATAACTGGAATCCGATAAGGGGAACAACATACTACAAAAGAACACCTCTTAAGGCCAATCAATAGAGCATCCATGATAAATGGAAGCAATACCAAGAAAGAGCGTTTGTTATTAAAGAGAATAATTTTTTTTGAAATTGTATTCTCATGTTTGGTTCGCGAAAAAATTATTATTAAATAATAATTTATTGCAAATAGTAATATTTTTTATTAAAATAGTGAGAATGTCATTATTTTCAAATTCTTATGTATGATATAATTTTGTTACTTTGGACACGAACACTTATAGAATAATGAATTATTTTCATATGAATCCTTCTTAATTTTTATTCTTATTGCTTAACTCAAAATTATAAATATAATAATAATATACAAAGAATTTGATTTAATACAATATTAATAAATTTGAGTAGGCCTGCAAATGAACCGAACGAACGCGAACGATAGTATATTCATGTTCATTTATTTAATTTTAACTGAATAAACGAACGAACACGAACAACTAAACGAATAAAATTTCTTGTTTGTGTTTGTTCATTAAGGAATACTTGCTCGTGTTCGTTCATGTTCGTTCGTTAAAATGATAAAGAAACGCAAACGAACGAATGTAAACAAACATAAACAGCAAATATAAAATTAGTTGGGTTTATATTTGAGTAGAGTTTTTTATTTCTAAATAATTCTAGGGTTTATTTTTTAATTGATTTGAGTATTTTTTTTATTTGAGTTTAAAATTAATTCGATTTTACAATATTAATGGGTTTAACATTAAAATTTAGTAGGTCTTAATGTTTTAAACGGGTTTGGAGATTGGACTGAATATAAACGAATGAACATAAACGAACATAAGCCAACATAAATAAATAAACAGATTATCGAATGTTCACAAACGAATGGATCATTTATTCTTGTTTTTTCATTTAACTAAACGAACATAAAATCATGTTCATGTTCGTTCGTTTAATAAATAAATGAACTTTCTACTGAACGGTTCACAAACACTTTGTTGAACGTTCGATTCATTTACAGACCTAAATTTAAGTAGTTAAAATTATAAAATAAATATGATACTTATGAAAATCATTAAAATTATAAATTTGACACACTAATTATATTAATTATATGATAAATATGTTTTTCCCTTAAAAGATAGATAAGAAAACAATTAAAATATTTTTATGAATTTTATTCAAATATTTATAATTTAATATTAAAATTTAACGTAATAAAAATATATATATCACAGGGATAATTTGGTAAAATATGCATCCAATAATCTCATATTCTTTAAACTAAACACTATAATCTTACATTCCCGCTAAACAAATCAAACAAAGTAAAACAATATTGCTTGAGTAATGTTACATTCTAATAATCTTTTTCTCAAAGATAATATTACATTTAGTGAACTAAATATCCCCTAAATGGCATTTAACTGCCAATCTTAAATATAGACGAAGGTTGTCCAGGTTTGAACTCATAGTTTATTGCTCAAGGCAAGTAAATACTGATAGTAGGGATGGACTAGGCGGGGTAGGTGAGGGCGGTCGCTCTCCTAAAAATCTAAAATTTCATATATTTTAAATTTTTTTCTATGTATTTTCTATTAAATTTTGTTTTTGTCCCCTTAAAATTTTATTCCCCTTTTATAAGTTCAAATTCACATCTCTAACATAAAATCATGAGTTTGTCCGACTGTTAGGAGACTATTATCCTCTTTCTAAAAGATATGTTTGATAATATGTGCACCTTTCGTTTTTAAACTCTATCTCTACGACCTTTCTTTTCTTTTTTTATGTGGTATTATTGTCCTTCACCTTTATGACATTCTTTATATTCAATCTCGTAACATCCTTATCACGGACCATCGTCATGGTTGGTTCATCCTGCTTACCTCAATCAATAACTAGTTGACAGCTTTCTAGATTATTGATCAAGGGCATATGAATATACAAATGATGGGTGAGAAACGAACCAAATTCGATTCTGCGTCCCCATATACATGTATCTGCATAGCTGAAGTCTGAAGATAATGGAATGTGTGATGTGTCTATGCAGTATGCTACATCCAACAGTTAGGCTTATCATATGATTATGACCGTAGAGATAAGTCTCTAAGGCCCTAAAGTCGGATTTGTCTTGACCAACTTATTTATTTGACATAACAGTACAAAACATTAGTTCTATTATACACTCTGAAAGGTTCAGATAACTTCACGTTCTGTTCTCCCTGCGATCGGACTGAAATGATACCATTTTGCAGGGTCGAGCTTTCAAAACCGATATTTAGCATGTCTTATGGGAAATATGATCATTAGAACGAAGATAATTTAGAGGTGACCTCAATATAAGAAAGGGCAGGTACGGATCGAGAGGTGGTCAGGGACAATCATCCTTTGAAAATTTAAAATTATCATATATTTAAATTTATTTTTATGTATATTATATTGAAAATCTGTATTCGCTCCATAAAATTTTATAAATTCGTTATTTTAAAAAAATTTAAAAATTTATCCTTTAACATAAAATTTTACGTCATCCGCGTCACTACCACTTCTAAGGCCAACCTTCAAAACCTTAGAACCGTCTCTACAAGAAACCATCTATGTATGACGGTGTGTAGCATTTGTGAAACAACTCGTGCAAATCTATGGTGGGTTTCATCATCCTATTCCAAGAATTTGTGCTCCAAAATTTGATGCTTCAGCTTGAATGCTCAGATGCTAAAGTTTGTCAATGACAAGCTGTCAAATGCAGTATAAAAGCATATGAACTCAAAATGGTTTTCCAGACTCTAAAATTCAACCTATTGGAGTTAAGTTTTCAACACCATAGAAACAAAAGGAATTGATGGTATGCATTACTCCCCATACATTTTTCAGTGTCATAAATATCACACCAGCTTTCATTTTGGTAATAAGTGTACATGTAATTTTACCTCGAGTCGTTCCATGGAGTTCTGGCTACGATGTTCGATAAGCAAATCGGTTAGCAAAATTCACTGCCTGCATGTTGGTATACCATGGAATGACAGAAGCAAATGCTAAGTTAAAGATCTCTGTGAGCCGAAGGGTAACTGATCCCCATACCTGCGGGCCAAGCATCGAATAGAGGTTCTGCCTACAAAGGGTTGGCCCGAGTATGAGTGGCTCCTCAAATCCCTTCCCCCGACCGATGCAAAATTCTTTTAAGCTCGGCCGCCATTGCTTGCAATAAAACAGGTTTCTGAAGAACTGCATTCATTCCTATTTGCACGCATCTCTCCCGCACATGATCCTCAGCACTAGCTGTCAAGGCTATAATCAATGGCCAATTACGGCTGCGGAACTTACGGATCCTCGTCGCCACTTCAAATCCATCGATTTCAGGCATGTGAAGATCCAAAACGACAACTCTGAAAGAATTTTCAGCATGGCTGAATGCACTAAGGCATTCGAATCCAGTAGAAACGGCTGTCACTTCACAACCCAACTTTTCTAGCATCTTCTTGGTCACAATTCTGTTTATGTCATCATCATCGGCTAGTAAAACTCGTAGACCCCTGAACCTCGAGTAGGAATTTGATTGCTCACCGGAGGTTCCATGAGCATACATGGTTCTTTGGATATACGATTGGATTTGAAACCTGAGAAGAAGTGTCATGCTCTGTGCAAAGCCCAGAGAGTTCGTGGATATCCAGACGTTCCCTTGCATCATCTGCAAATACCAGAAACATTATATACAATTATTACACGAACGGTAACGCAGCTTACTTCAAAGAAGGAAACAATGGTCAAAGAAAAATCCCTTTCAAAATCTCTCTATACTATACAATTGGAACATTGAATTATTTCAAACTTTTCACTACTATCATATTCATACAATAACCTATAAAAAGCTAAAAGGGTATTCGACCGAAAACATTGCCATATCTAGAAATCATGAACCACTAAAATCTATGGGGTGAAAAAAAAAAATGCAATAAAACAGCTGAATATCTTTCAGATGTCTTGAAAGATTCAGCAATGAATGATCATACACACAGGGAAAACAACAATATACTTCTAACCACGGCATTTCATTCCAACGGATGAATGGTTATTAAAATGCAGTAGCTAAAACAATGTATAGAATCGAGAATATATATAGAAGAACTGGGATATTCACCTGCACAAGCTTTTTACACAT